ATGTATAAAAGAAAATATTGGCCACGAATGTCTTACCAACCTCCAATTTATCTCATTGAGACATAAATACAACGTGATTGTTAAATCAAACAGGACAAAACTTATATAAAATTTCATAAGTGAAGTTTACGAAGTTTCTTATTAGAAATGAATAAATAAAAATTTTAATAAAAGATATGAACTGATAAATTGAGAGAATTTAATGTGAAAATCAATAATATATAAAAAAAAATTAAAAAAATTATTTATATTTCAAATTTAATTGATATTTATTCAGCGTAAAAATTTTGTCAAATTAAAAATGTTTATTTAATAAATATATTAAAATATTTTCAAATTTTGCACATTTGATTTATATTATAAGATTTTTTAATCTATCAGTTTTGATTTTTTATTTTTATTTTAATTTTCTTGTTTCTAATAAGGAATTTCACAAATTTTACCTATAAAACTTTATATAAGTCTTTTTCAACTAGACAACATCCTTAATTACTAAAAAAGAATCCTTAATTTGAATGAGCAGATGAACTAATATGGTTTTGTTTTTAAAAAATTTAAGAGATAAACTCAAGGGGCGTCAACTTGATTGCATGAAGGAAGTACGAAATGCAAATTATTTGCCACCTTCCTATTCCTATCCATTAGCATTTGCCAATAGCCATACAATTTGGAAATAGGGATAACTTTATGATTTATGAATTATTGAACATTCTCTCTTTCCACTTCACTTGAAAATGATATCTCATTTTTCAAAATTGTAACAAAAATTATAAAATTTTGTGTTTTCTTAATTCTTTTACCATTAGCTTGTAACGAAGCAAAAAAAATTACATACATTCATACATATATATATTTATATATAAGAAAGAATAGAATAATGGCGATCGAACTTGTGAAACTAGAAAAGAAATAAAAAAGTTGTGATCGAATTTAGTTCCAATGTAAAAATAACGATGAAAGGAAACCAATGAATGAGAAGTGACGATCGAAAGGGAAACGACGGTCAAAGCAATTGAAAGAGAAGCTTGGGTCGACTACAGTTATCGGGATGAGGAGAGGAGAAAAAAATTGAGATTTTTTACTAATTATTGTAACATAGAAAGGATAAAATAGACCAAAAATTACGTTTATTAAGAGCAAAATAAAAAAAAAATTATTTCCAAGAAAATGTAACAATATCTCATAAATATATGATTTTTTTATTCACTAGCAATTGGAGGTTGGCTTCACTAAGGTTTCTTATATTAATTTATAATATTTGATTAAGTTAAGAAGTTAAAGTAATATATGTAATTAACATAAAATAATAATTTAAGAGAAAGTTGAAAGCTTTCTTAAAACAACTATAAAATCAAACTAATTCCTAGAAGGTAATTCCTAAGAGTTGAAGAAGTTTGTATCTTCCAATAGCTGATAAGAACATGTGTTCAAAAGGTATATGGATTCATCCAACTATAATATCAACCAATAATCATAGAGTAAATCACTGGCTTGCATATAGTCTACAGCTGAAACTACACATGCATTTCGTAACTCAAGTTGCCATTGATCTTAGGCTTCATAATGATCATCATCATCCGCAAAGCATTGCCATTGATTAAAATGGGCTAACATGTCAACATCTATGGTGAAATTTAGGATACCTTGAACAGAGTCCATAGTGTAATTTAGTTTGAAAAAAACCACCTTAACACCTTTTGATTCAAGCACATGAATAACCTAGTTTTAGAATAATCCGACTTTAAGATTTACATTATATTAAAATTCCCTCTAAATAAAAATATAATATTACAATTCAATCATTTGTAAAAAAAAAAAACAATGAATTCATAGTAACATGACTTATGTAACTATAGATTTAGTCACAAGTTTGTGAAATAGCACTTCATTGCCAGCATCTTTAAGATAATCAACTGTAAGTTTTGTGTGATGTCAACTAAGAATGAGTCATAAAAAAAAATGTCTCTTGATGAATAATCATCTGGATCTTTTCTTTTGATGGAATTTAAAACAACCACACAATCTTTAGCATTTTTATAGAATGAACCAAGCGTATCTTACTAAAAAGAGAGCATAAAAAGTTATTGAAATGTTACATTAATCATTATGGTTAACTTCATTTCGGTACCAATCATATCAATCAATACGCTCCAATTATACCAAAATATAATACACCTAAGGATAATTTTCGTACCTTATTTAGTATCAGTAATATCGGTTGTTTTTCTTAATTTTGATTAATTTCAATGAAATAGCATGTTTCGACTGATATGTGAATGTGAAATATATATTATCATTTTTAACTTATTTTTTGTTATTTAATTATTTTTAACCTAATAAAAATAAAATTAATTGACAAAATAAACCTTAAAAATTGAGTTTCTTTTTTTTTTTTTTAAATTACTTTTTTGATACTTTATTTTTTCAAACCAAAGTTTATAAGTATTTTAATTTTTTTCAAGAAAAAAAATTATACTCCTTTTATAAAGTTTAACAATCATAAAATCTTGGTTAATTTTTTTCATCTTTTTATTTTTATCTTAATATTTATATGAAAAATATTTATTTAAATATCATATGATCAAATTAAGTGTTTACAAATATCATGAAAATTTTATAATATTATTTCTTATGCTTTTAAACTTATTTATTTGATTTTTGAATATATTGCATATTTATTTTATAGATTATTAATAATATTATAATGTACAAGTTCATATATGTATATAACAACCTTAATCTTAACCTTAAACGTTATTCGGTATGATATTAACAACTTTAACTTTAACTCAAAAAGGATATCTTCTATCCTACGATATTACCAAGCTTTCTGATATTACCAAGTTTTGTGATATGCTCATTACACCAATGATATTACCAAAAAATTTGCCAGGTATTACACATGCATCTTTCAAAGTTTTTTTGGGGTTTTGTTAAAAATAGCTGACCATAATTGGTTGGCAATTAGCACATTTCCTTATTATTTAATGTGCAAAACATCTCTATGAGTTGATGACTTTTAAGTCTCTCTATAAATAACCTAAAATAGTGTTTTGGATGCTAAAATAAGCAATTAATTTGAAAAAAAAAGGAATTGAATTTATTTCCAAATAACCAAAGCCAATAGAATTCCATTTGGTTTTGGTTCTGAACAAAACATAAATTCTCTACAATTGTCTAGAATTACTTCCATCCCTAGACTTTTAACCAAATGGGGGAAAAAGAAAAGAAAATCCAGTTATGTTATTAATTGCCATGGAAAGACCCAATTGAACCTAAACAGCAAAACCTAAATACCAAAAGTAACATTCAAATAGAACATAAATAAATTGAAATATATAATGATTAGGATAACATAACCCATAGGAACTCCTTGTTGCAAATGTGTAGATATGCGTTCGCTGTAAACATTCACACAACATATGGTATTCAACTATCAATTATGCAAAAAAATGGAAACATAGTTATACAAATAAGAACAGTATTTAAAAAAAATAAAATTAAACAAAAAGAATTGAAACTCACAGGAAGAGGCTCTTCATGATGGGGATGACCCTTAAAACAGTGCAAGTAGCTATGCCTAAATATGTTTTCTACTCCCATTTCGCGTTTCATCTAAACAAATATATAAATTAATGTTAAAAAAATAAATAGCTCTGATTTTTTTTTAAACCAGGATGGATTTTTAATTATAAGAATTTTTTTTAGGTTTCAAATTTCAACCTTTTTTTATAATCTAAATTTGATTTTAGTTCTTCTGAGTCTAAGAGAGAATCAATCAAAATCTCAAGGGTAAACTAAGCAATAAAACCCTAACATACCAAACAACGGGAAAAAATTAACATATACACATTCAAACAGATGAATGAAAGAAAACTGATTCAAACTGGATACAATAATCTAAAATTTGTAAGAAGAAATGAAAAAGAAAAGGTCACATACAAGCATCATCGTGATGAGAAGAAGAATCGAAACCTGTTTGACACTATTTGTTTGATTTCAGATGTGCCCATAACATTTTTTTTAATGACATCATTGCTTGTTTTCTCTCCTGTGTTGTTCTATTCTCATGAATCTATAAGAATGCTAATTCAAAGTTGGTTGTCAAGAGTTTGCTCTTTTAGTGTTTTTCTATTCTGATGAACCTGTAAGAATGCTAATTCAAAGCAGGTTGTCAATAGTTGTTGTGAATTCTTTGCACGTTTAAAAGCACTTGGGCTAGGTTATCACTCAGGTCTTAGGCAGGGTGATATTGAGCATGCAGCAGTTATACACTATGATGGAGTCAAGAAACCCTGGTTGGAAATAGGAATTGCTAAATATAAGGGTTATTGAAGAAAATATGTGAGCATGACCATCCTTACAACAATGCAATATCCACGAGTAATTGAAGATCACAGCATACAAGTGGAATTCTTTGATTCAGACTACATTACTACTTGCTTCTCCCAGAAACGGCTCCTGTTGATCTGATTCTTTAACAATCTTTCATGTAAATTTCAACTCATTTTTCCCATAATGTTTTGGCCCTAATCTTTTGGGGGTTGTTGAGTCAATATGCGCGAGTGCTGTATTGCAGGTATACATTTGTACATAACTGATATCACAAGATATCACAATTCTACTAGTTTTTTTTTTTTTTTCATGCACAATTCTACTAAAAGAAATAGGAAAAGATGAACTTTGTCTGTCTGATTGTCTTTATATCGTTTTCTACTTTTCATTTTTAGCGTTTACTAGCAAAGAGGCGAATTAATTTATTGTCTTTGTGAATCAAGAAACTAATTTTAGGTTGGGTCGAAGTTAGGGGTCATGGCCGGCTAACTTTGTCTTGTCATGTGACCACAAAACACTCCAGGATCAATATCTATTTATGGACAGATTGTGTGACACGTGGACGACATTGGTTGGGCGTATGTGGATAGGGGAAATCAGTCTGGTGTGATTCTGGACCACCGATATTAATCTGTAAGCTGGTACCCTTTGGATCCAGCCGCCGTTGTAGCTAAAATCACTGTGCTGTAGCTGTTCTCTCTCTCCCAATTGAAGAAGGAATATGGCAACCATCTTTGCTTGCACCCCTACCTCAACCATCACCCCTGCAGCTCTTGCTCACAAACTATCACCAAGGGTTGCATCCCCAGTTGCCATTGGTAACTTTCTAGGGTTTTTTTTTTTTTTTTTTTTTTTTTTTTTTAAAAGTAAAGGGTCATTTGCATTTTCTCTTAACTGCAAATTTTACTTTCCAGGGTTGCCAAAAATGGAAAAGAGGGGGAAAGTGATGTGTTCCATGGAGAAGAAGCCTTCTGCTGAGGAGACTGGGTCAAACATGGGCATAGTTGCATCATTGGTGGCAGCAGTCTTTGCAGCTACCATGTCAAGCCCAGCCATGGCTCTGGTGGACGAGAGAATGACCACTGAAGGAACCGGACTTCCCTTTGGTTTGAGCAACAACCTTCTTGGCTGGGCCCTGTTTGGTATATTCGGCCTGATTTGGGCACTTTACTTTGTTTACACTTCCTCCCTTGAAGAGGATGAGGAGTCTGGATTATCGCTCTAAGCCAAACCTTATTTCCTTCTGGTGTTGTTCACTGAAAACACCATGCTCAAAGGAATGTAAAAAATCAAAAGAGTTTGGCCTTCCTACTTTGTAGTAAAACTACCTTCTGCATGCCCAACATGTATTCTTATTTCTACTAATTATGTTTCACTTTCTCCATTGTTTCTTCATTGATGCTTGATTTGGTTAACATGAACATTGATATATGAAAGAACAGCAGGGCCAGGATATTTGCGGGACCTCTGCCCTTGGCAGCTCTGCAATGGCATATTTCATCCGTTGGTACCTTTGCTTTTTAGCCACCAATGGCTTAGGCACCTCAATCAATTTGCTTAGGCAAGAAAAGAAGATTTTGATTCCCTCCCTATAATTCATGAGTGAAATTGGATCTATAGAACCGTCTCTTTGTGCCTCAATTTAAGACACGTAAATTCATGACTTTACTAGTTCCTCTTCCGGTACCTTACCTAGTGTTTCTACGACAAGAATGTGCGAGTGTCGTGGGCTTGAAATTTAAGCCTATATTTTATATAAGGATTCGTATAGATAAATAGTGAGATTAAATTTGATAAAATTAAAAATAAAAATAAAAATTATTATAATTACTATTAAAAAAAAAATTATATTGAATATCTCTTATTAAAATTAATATTTGAATTTAATTAATTATATAACAAATTCAATTACATCGCACTGAAAATATGATAAAATCTAAATCTTCCATTAAATAAGTTTAAGTCAGTCTATTTTTGGATTGAGTGAGTGTGCTGGAATGTTAAACCTACTTGGATTTACTTTGGATATTTTCCAACAAAAAATCTTAAATGGGTGTCAAAAGCAACCACATTTGATTTTTCACCTAAAAGTTTGAGCTCTCATGAACGTATAAATGGTTTTAATTATTAGCATTACAAAATTGTTTCTTCCAAAAGTATATGGAAGAAACTGAAATAAACAAACTTAAATATGTTTTTTTTTTAATCTTTTATGTAAGTACAAAATTTAAAAGTAGAACCATGAACTTCAAACAACTCAAGTGATCATCTTTCACCTTCACCAAATTGAAAGTGATAACACATTTTCGAGGATGATTTTCAGTTTGAAGCGATTATGGTCTGGGACTATGGGTTGAACTGTGAGTATTCTTCTATCCTAAGGTCTTCAAAGTTAATTTTTTTGAAAATATTAACTTACTCATATATTTAATTTAAATTATAACAAATCTTTTATAATTAAATCTTTAATTATTTGGTGATTTTAATATCCACAATCCACGTTCCGAGGCCTTAATCGAATCCTGCCTCTTTAGTGGGACCAATTATGGTTCATATTATAATTAAGGCCCAAATCTCTGTTCGTATAGAGTTCAAAGAGATAGAAGACAACCACAGCCTCATGCTCTGTTCTTCTGAAGTCCATCGTAGACTCATCCACTTCTTCCAAACTATTAGCGTAAACCACTTCCGACTTCTCCAACTTTACTTCAAATCGCGTGGCCTCCTCAGTAGATAATCCTTTTCTTCTTGTACGTTTACAATTTTAAATTTTTTAAAATCCAAAAGACAGCAGAAGAAAATTGTTCTATCTAAGCTTAATCGAGCACTCTATGCGGTTACCACCCCCATCGCTTAACCTTCCCCTTGATGAAGCTGTTAAGATAGAGCTGGAAACCCTTTTCTTGGATAAGGTTTGTTAGTACCATATCTTCTGCCATGTTCATTGTTTGAAATGGGTAATTTTGCTTTTCTTAAGTATTTTCATTGAACTATGCTTTGACAAGGATTAATGAATGTTGTAATTGTAATGTAGGTTATTGCAAAATTGGGACTCTGTATTTCAGTATATGATATCAGGTCAATTAAAGGTGGCTTTATCTTTCCCGGGGATGGTGCTTCTACCTGTACGGTATTGCTATTTTTTGTATTAAATTAGCTGCAAGCAAGACACATCGATTCATTTTCTTGTTTCTGCAGTCTCTGAAGTTTGACAATCTTGCTTTTGCTGTTGTGATAGGTGGAGTTCAGAACTGATCGTGTTTCGTCCATTTGTTGGTGAGATTATTGTTGCAAAACTTAAAGAATCCGATGCTAATGACTTGCGCTGTAAGTCTGGAAAAACGATGCCTTGTCTACTTATTGGATTATGATTTTTTGGTGTAGAGGAATCTGAAGTGATGTTTTCCTTTTCTTAAGAATAAATACTGGCCTTTATCATCTGTATGTTGGAACCAAGAATAGCCTTTTGGTTTCAAGATTACATAATAACTAATTCAAATTGAGGCCGTAGCTCAACCTGATTAATCCATAATAATTCTCTAACTTGTGGTTAGTTCAAGGCAAGATGAGTCAGTTGAGAGGACATCCTTTCTATGTATGAAAGAAGTTTGTGGGTGGTGTATAGAACGCATTGTTCCCAATCAGTGAATGTAGAAGGTTGCAGTTTGAGTCGAGGCAATGCAGTGTCAGATTGTCTCATTTGTATGTTTTTTGTTGCATTTAGTTGCATAGGACTCGATCCATATGTTTAGTCAAAAGATGATAAGGAGAAAAAACAGGGAAACTTCCTCTCCGTTCTTACATTTTGACATTTAAATAACAGATATAAGTAGAAGGAGAGTTAGGTTCTTTGACTGATATCTCTATGGCTGCTAATGGCATGTTTTCTCTAGGCATAAGGGTAAAAAAAAAAAAAAAAAAAAAACCCTCAAACTAAAATTCAATAATCATTTAAGTCCTTAATATTTTATTGCAATCAATCAAGCCCTAAATCTTCGATTTCGGATCAATTGAACCCTTAAATATTTATTTTCATTCAATTGAACCCTTGTACATGTATTTTCACTCAATTAAACCCTCAATTGGACAGATACGGTTAACTATTTTTCCTCTAGTAAGGGTTTAATTGATGAAAATAGATGTCTGAGGGTTTAATTGATTGCAAAAAAAAATAATAATAATAATAAGGGCTTGGATGATTATTGAATTTTAGTTTAGGGGATTTTTTTACCCTTTTGCCTTTTCTCTATGATTTGAGGTGTACATATTCCAGTCATTTACTTGAAATAGTCTTTAGCTTTTTGCTATATAGTTATTTTGATCGTCAAGTTACATCTCGTCTTGTTGTTGTGATCAAAGCTAAAAATAGCCAGGCTAAGGTGGTCAAATGTTAGACCAATTATAAGTATTATCAACCCTTTTCTTGTTAAATATCTTTTTCGAATATCTACATGTTACTCACTTAATTATCTTGGTTCTGTAACTTGCAGTGACACTTGGATTTTTTTATGACATTTACATACCTGTCCATCTTTTGCCAAGTCCATCTCGCTTTGAGTCTGACACTAATAATAAGTAAGAGCCAGTTGCTTGTTTATTCAACTTTGTGTAACTAGAAGTAGGGCTTACCCACCAACTTTTACAAATTTTTTAACTTATGTCATTTATTATGCTATTTATGGTATGTATAATAACGTGCTTCTTTACTATTTTGAGGATTGAAGAAATCAAGGCAGATGGATATGGGACTTTGGAGAAGCAGACGCACAGTCCAAAGAACCACGATTTGTTATTGATGGAACAGATCAGGTATGCCTTGTTATGTGATGCAAATTTCCATAAACTTGTGATGTTTATGTTTACACTGACTTTAGATTTTCTGAATCACAGATTAAATTTCAAGTTTATAGTGTTAGTTATACTTCAATTCCACTTGAACAGCCAGAAAATTCAAAGCCATTTGCCCCAATGGTGATTACTGTAAGTTCCTCTTTCAAATTTATTTCATCATTGTCTTGTCTGTAGCATTAGATCCCTCTCTGTCTGAAGTTTTGCTTCTAGGTTAATATAATGTTAATTTGTTTCATCATAAATCATACTAAAGTGCATCTTCCATTATGAGAGCCAACTTTGCACAGTACATAAGATGGAAAGATTGTCATTGTCATGTAATAAGAATCATTTGTTCTTCTTCTTTAAACCTTTGGTTAATCAAAACCTTGAATTATTTAAATCTATCCTGATGGATCAATCCTTTAATCCCTCAGTCTTCCTCTTACATTTTGGATCATTCTTCTATGCCTGAAGTTTAGGTCATACATTGATAAACATCCACATCAACAAAAAGAAGTGTTGTACAACCTGTACTATTTTTCCCCTGCCGCTTCATTGATTTTTTTTTTTTTTTTGCTTTTATGCTGTTTTGTATCCTACATTTCCTGCTTTTTTTATCATAAGTTATAGGTTTATGTACCTCCTAAAAGTAGAAAAGGTTCAGTTATATGATTAATGTGTAGATATATATTTATGTTGTTTATTTTCGTTGCAGGGATCAATAGACTATGATGGTTTGGGCCCTGTTTCATGGTGGGAGGAAGCAGAAATGGTTCAGGAAGAGTCTTAAGTTTGAAGACTTACTAGTTAGCCTTGCATATTAACAAGTGGAAGGACAAATTGGGCTTTTATAGATTGTAGATGTTTGTAGATACTTCAAAGAGCAGCAGAAATGAACTTTTCAAAGCTTGCAATACCAGCAGCAGTATTATGGTGCTTCTTCCTAAGGACATCGCCTCCATGTGCTCGGAGATTCCTTAATCCGCTCTACTCAACCATAAACTTATCATCAAGGAAATGCCAACTGCTAAATACAAAGGTTGAAAGTATTGTTTTGACAATTTTGGTGATTATCTTTACCTTTGTTTCCACAACGTGAATGGCTCAATAGCCGACTGCTGCATTTAGTTTGCCTCAATTTGTAAAACCAATTTTAATTGTGGTATATATTGGAGCTGATGGCAAGTAAACAGCACTAGTTTGCAATGCCAAAGGTACTAGTTTTTTGCAAATTTCCTTTTTTTTTTTTCTGTACACTATAAAGGAATACTTGTTATAGGTAATTTATTTTTAGATTGCATTCCTTTGAGCAGTCCCTGGATATGGTGTACCAAAACAGAGTCCTCCCCTTGCTAGCACAAATCTATGGCCGTTTTCAATGTTATCTGCACATACCAATTCACAACATCAATTAGATTAGACTCTGACAGTTTAATTAATAAAGAAATCCAATTGTCAAGAATTATCGCATTTGGAGGTTACAAGTTCAAGAGAACTTATACGTGTAATGTCTTTGTCAATCAAGTATGTATTTGGATAAGAAAAGTTTAAAGGTAGATTAGAAACCTCAAAAAAAAAAAAAAAAATCCAATTAATTTGCAATGCGAGTAGGAAGGCCATGCTTTATTAATTTGCAATTAAGTTTAGATCATAGTTTTGGTTTGCAACATTTGGAACAAGAATTGGAAGCTGTTTGATTTGAAAATCCGAAAGCTGTTCGTTTTGAAAATCCATCATTTTCTTTCTCCTTTCTTGAATCTCTTGAATAATTAATAATTATTTACAAAGAGTTTGAAGAGTTTATTCAAAGAAGTTGAAATTGTAACATTCAACATAACCATTATGAAAATTAACTTTTGTATGGTTCATTATAACCGCAATGATCATTGACTAAATTTGTACAATCCCAGGAAACAGCCAAAAACCTGCCATAACGGGAAATATTTTCTGATGCTTAAAAAGAAAAAAAAAAAAGGACAATTACACTTTCAAAATTTTCTTTCAAAAATACATACTTATCAAATGTCAATTTTATCCTTTGATAAATTACAAAGCATCTTTAATAGTTTATATACCTAAAATTCATTTCTTATGTTTTAAAAATAAATTTTTTATAATTATATTGTGTTATTAGTAATCCATTAAAAAAAATATAATTATCATAAATAGATTACTGATAATGAACACACTTATCCAAAATTTATTTTTAAAAATTATATTACTTTTTTTTAAAATAAATTTTTAAGAGTCATCTGTATTTTCAAAAATTTGATTTCGAGAATATGTGAATTTTTAAAATATATATTTAATTATAAACTTTGAAAACGAGAAAATAAAGTTCTCTAATATTTGAGACACTAAAAAATCATCAACAGATTAATAAATCTGACAGTAAGATTGGTGGCCAAAATATTATATATTATTAGATTGTCGATCCGTTGATAATATTATTAGTGACAATGTTTTATAAGATGTTCAAGCTTTAACTAGTTTGTATATACACACATGAATCATCGATATGTCTATTCTTACTTTATCATATGTGCAAATGAAAGAGACCAATTCTCAAGCATGAAAGGCATAAAAATATTTTTGTCACGAGCCCAACAAAAAACCAAGAACTCAATTTTATCAATGTAAAACCATAAAAACTAAAAAACAATGTTATCAATTTTTTAGAAGTTCAATAGAAATAACAATTTATACCATATAGGTTAAAAATATCGATTTCAATTTCAATTGCACACCATAATCAAGTAATGGGTTTATAAACATATGACTAAGGTTTTAATTAAAAGTAAAATTAAGTTTATTGGATATAAAGATTTGATAAGTATTATATATTTTCGAACATTTATTTATGAAAATATTTTAGTTTTTTTAGAAAATAAATATTTGAAAAAATTTAAATATTTGTGAAAATAAATATCCAAAAACCTTTGATTCTTATTAAAAATGGATATAAAAAAATTCTTAAAATTTCTCCTATATCTATTTTTAAAAAGTTTCAAAATTTTTTAAATATTCATTTATGAGAAATTTGATTTTAAAAAGTGAAGAGAGAAAATAAAAGAAAAAAAGTAAGAACAAAAAATAAAAAATAAAGAATGAGATGTATTTAATAAAAATAAAAAAATTAATTTCGAATTTATAGTGTATATAGAAGTGCATAATATATAGCACTAAATGAGGTGTAAATAGAATCTCCTTTTCACCTGACCCGTGCCATCCATCCATCAAGGAAGAGGGTAATATAGTAAATAAACATCATAAACCACGTTCCTTTTTTTTTTTTTTTTTTTTTTTTTCTGGATTCAAAATCACGCGCGAAAGCAAGCCATTACTCCCGCCCCTTCAAGCCCTCCCTTTATTTTCCATTTCCTCTATCCCAAATCCCCCTCAGCCCTCCCACCCTTCCTTTCTCTATTTCTCATTCAATCATTTTTCTTATCTTCATTTTCTCTCTCTTTCTTTCTCTGTCTCCGTTGCCAAACAGCCATGCACCACCCACAACCCACATTTCTTCACCCGATTCCGCCGCCACTGCTGCGTTTGACTCCAAACCAGCCAAACGACGCGGCAGTTACAACTGTGGTCGATGTGGACTTCCAAGAAAGGCCATGTTTGCCAAGTCAGCAGCAGCACACCTACTTCATCTTCCACCCCAACCTCAACTCCAGCTGCCACAACCACCACCACCACCGAGACTTACTCTTCAGCAGCCCGTCCTCCTCGTCCTCCAGCTCCACGTCAGCCCTACTCCAACCTCCGACGCGCACTTTCCTTTGACGATATCGACACCCGCTGCGACTCGCCGGAAATTGATTTAGATGGCTACGATTCTTCCTTCCCGAGTAAGGATATGGATCCGGATAATGAGACTGTCTCCGGTGGGTTACCGGCAGGGTGCCTGTGGGAGGTCTTGAGGAGATTACCGCCTGCGGGGCTGTTGGCGGCGGCGAGGGTGTGCAAAGGTTGGAGGGAAACGACGAAGAGACTGTGGAGGGCGGCGGAGGAGCTTAGACTTATGGTCCCACCTAAGGGTCAGCTTAGGTTCACTGGATCCGTCTTGCAGAAATGCCCAAGCCTTGTTAGACTTTCTCTTAAGATGGAAAGGTTTGGGTCTAAACTATAGACAGATCTAGCGTTTCATGGACAGGACCGGTTGACACCAACGGAGATCAAAATGAAATCATGAAATGTGAATTAATCGGGTTATAATTTAACGGAAAATAATCAGTGAAATGAAATGGAAATTGATCTATAATCAGGATCGCCACGAGAACTGCAAATTTGTGTTCAAATTAATTACTGTTTTAATAGTGCTCTTTGGGCAACATTCTGATAAAAATTTCCTATAATTAAGAGATAAAATCATTGCAATAGTTAACAACGGGGTTGGATTAGCTTATCAACAAAAAATTCGACTGGAAAACTTTAAGATCTTTATTCACTTAGGCAGATGTGTTCTCACAATTTATTTGATTGTAAGAATTTGCAAATGTTATTATCACTTTTTTTGCATCCCTTGGGGGGGGGGGGGGGTTCATTGCTGCTTTTGGATTTTTTGTTGTAATTTTTATTTTGTTGTTTGGGTTTTGCAGTGATGTAGATGCAACAATGCTGGCCTGCATTGCGTTTTCTTGCCCTAATTTGGAGTCTCTGGAGATTTCAACATCGAATAAAGCTGTCAATCGGATCACAGGGTACAATTTCTTTTCACGCCTTTTTTTGGGTTTTTCTTTTGTAAGTTATGGTTAGATCTTTGAAATGGTAAGCCTAGTTTCTCAGTTAATAAACTTTGTTACTCTTGATTATAGTTTGATTGTCTAACCTTGATTTTGTTGATGGATGAATTAATTTAGATATAGCTAATTCGTTGAAATTTGTAATTCTTTTGACCAATTTATTAGAGGGTTTGAGTGACTAAGACTAAGAGGTTAAAACTAGGGTGAAAAGCATAGATCTTTCTAGTTGAGCGGTCTTGATCAGTCTTTTTCTTTCTTTTAATTCGAGATGTGATAACATGAAAAAGTCATAAAGTTATGTAGACCCTGTTATAGATTTCTTGGTCCGACTGATGTTGGTTTATGTTTGTTGCTTATTGGTCAAGAACTCTGTCTCTTCATATTTTAGGTTGTCATGCATAACGTGTTCCATGCTGAAATTTCTGTTTATATTGGAATCCATTGAATATTTTTGCCCCTGTTTCGGATTTCAAACTATTTGTTGTTTAATGTTTTTGTTATGTTTTGTCTCATATCCTGCTTATATGTAGTTGCATGGTAACTACGCACAAATTGTCCAAAAAAGCAGGTACAAGTTCACAAATGTCAGATTAATTGATTCTGATTTACTTTTGTTAAATTTTTATCTATAGAGATGAATTGGGTCGGTTTGTTGCTGATAAACGCTGTCTCATGACCCTTAAGATGGATGGATGTTCTAATTTAGGGGGCTTTGTTCTCTTTTCGTCAAGTCTATCTACACTCTGGCTTTCTGATCTTTATTCCCTCTCAAAGACGGTAACCTTTTCATCTAGTCCATTTTATTTTAAAAACGTTCCTGGGGCATTTAATTGGATTTGTGTTTATATGGCCTCCTTTTGTAGGGTTTTAACTGTCCCAATTTGAAAGAGATATCCTTAGAATTTTCTTGCCAAGAAAATGATGCTACTGATCTTACTGCCATGGTTGATGGTCTGGGAAGAAGTTGTCTGAGGTTGCAAAACATTCACATTGCATCAGTTCGGCTTTCACATGCTGTTGTGCTTTCTCTTACTGCTGCGAACTTGAGGTTGGTTGAATCTTTTGGTCTATAAGTTCATTTAATCATGTATCATTTAGACACTGCTTTGATTTATCAAGAGTTAAAGTGGTTAACTGGACTTACTTTGTTCAGTTTTCTAGCAATGCTGTGTTTTGTTTCATGGATTTCTGCATTTGGAGGATAAATGAATCACTAATTTAATAATAATTGTCTATTATTCAGGGGGTTGCGGATGCTTTCACTTGTTCTTGGCTCAGAAATCACGGATGCATCTGTTGCTGCTATTGCTTCAAGCTATTCAAGATTAGAATTACTTGATCTGAGCGGGTATGTTTTGCTCTAGCTTTGATTAATTTATCCATTTGTCTGAGTTGGTTCTCAATGATTACTTATTATCTATTAATCTTTGGCACCATATTTCCTGATGCTTGCTGCTTGTTTTCAGGTCTAGCGTAAGTGACAGTGGCATTGGAATGATTTGCAATGTGTACCAGA